CAATAGCTAATGAACTTTTTGCAAAAATAGTAAAACTTCAAAGATGTACTAAAATAGTATTGTTATCTCAAAAGAACGGTTTGCAAAAACAAATGTTATCCAATAAGACAGCCTGTAAGGTCACAAATTCAGAGACAGTGAATTTGGATAAGAACCCAGAGTCAAATAATAGTTCAGATGAAAGACTTTTGTGACTCTTGAACCTTCTAATCCTTTGGAAAAAGCAAGTGAAAAACTAATTTGTCACAGGATCATGATGAGGCTGTTTCTGAAAAAGGCCATAATCAAAAAAAGAAAAAAAGGTTTCCCCTTTTTGCAGGAGCCTGGGGAAATGTGGATGAGGGCATTTTCTTTCTATGAAAGTAAGAGTAGATGCAGACAGCGTGGAGAAGGCACCCAGGCCTGGTCCGGACATTTCAGGAAAGCTGTCTGATGTCATCTGTTTCACGGCTGGGAAGCCCCTGCTTTCAGTCACCAGCCAGTGTGTGGGGCCGGTCAGGGTTTGGTGCTTCTCCTAGATGTGTCCTGTGAATCCAAGACGCTATTCCTTGGAGTTTGGTGGCACAAGAGCTGGTTAGCAGTGCCTGGGAAGGGCATTTCCAGCAAGGCTGAAGAGTCTTTGTGGAGGTGCGTCATCCAACAGACGAAATCTCCAGGTTGCAAGGTGTGATACTTAAGGTCTCCTGGGAATGAATGGTGAAAAGGTTCCTCTACAAAACATGGTTATTTTTTTTAAAAGATTTTATTCATTTATTTGAGAGAGAGAGCACGAGTCGGGTAGGGGCAGCGGGAGAAGCAGACTCCCCACTGAGCAGGGAGCCCGACATGGGGCTTGACCTGAGCCGAAGGCAGACGCTCAACCGACTGAGCCACCCAGGTGCCCCTATTTTAATTTTCTGAAAATATATTTTTAAGTAATCTGTACACCCAGTGGGGGCTTGCCCACAACCCCGAGAGCAAGAGTCCCACACTCCACCAACTGAGCCAACCAGATGCCCCCTACCAAAGCCTGGTTATTTTATTTATTTATTTTTTATTTGAGATATATATATGGAGAGAGCACATGAGCAGGGGGAGCAGCAGAGGGAGAGGGAGAAGCAGACACCCTGCTGAGCAGGGAGTCCGGTGTGGGACTCGATCTCAGGACCCGAGCCGAAGGCAGATGCCTCACCGACCGAGCCACCCAGGCACTCCTGGCCTGGTTATTTTTAACAGATGCAATCAGGCCTTAAAATATTGGAATGTATCTCCTTTTTCGACTATGGACAGGAGGCAGGGGCCAAGTGCCCTGGATGACCTGTGACTTAGCTCAAAGGATGAGAGTCTACATGGTCCAAAGGGTGTCAGTCTGAGATTTAGAAGGACCAACAGCAGTGCTTTCAGCCAAGGTGTCTGGAAGCTCTCTACAAATTTTGCCAATTGAATCTTCATAGTGCCTTTAGTGTGTTTCACTAACCTTGAGGATTGAGGGTGGTATGCACACTGAAATTGTTCTAAAACTAGCCAAACAGCACAGACTTGTCGAAGCACCTGACTGGTAAAATGGGTTTCCTGATCACTATGAAGTCTGATAGGAGTTACTCAGGTAGGGATAATCCTTCTGAACAGAATTTTTTTTTTTTTAAGATTTTATTTATTTATTTGATAGAGAGAACGAGTGGGGGGAGGGGCACGAGCCTGACTCGGGACTCTGGACTCGATCCCAGGAGTCTGGGACCATGACCTGAGCCCAAGGCAGACGCTTCGCCGACTGAGCCACCCAGGCGCCCTATTTGAACAGAATTTTAACCACAGAAGAAGCAGTGGCCTGCCTAAAGGGAAAGGTTCAGGCCAGTGAGAAAATATACGAATTGTGACTGACATTTCTATGAGACAGGGAAAGCTTTATAAAATCCATTTGTGTGACCAGGTTTCCACAGCTTTGGACAGGTGTGTAAGTGAAGTAAGCACTCTTTGTCTTTGCAGACTGTTAATATTTCTCCACCAATACTGGTTCATGAACACTATAATTTTGTCAGTAGACCAGTGGTTTAGTGCATATACAGAGGTAAGTAGTGGAAATTTTAGAATTTCTGGTAGGGCCAGATTGTTATTGGGTCCAAACCAGAGTTCTCTCTTTTTATTGAGCCAACAATGATTAGATTTCCAGTACTCTTTTTCCTTCTCTGGGGCCAATTGTTGGGTTATCGCTTGTTGATTTTTCCAAATTATCATTTGGAACAACATCCCTTTTGGACCCCGACAGAGATTCAGCTGTGGGTTTCCTTGACAGCATCATTTTTGGCAGAAATATCAGTGAGGTGGTTTCCTTTGGTCTCCAGGGAGTTGTGTCTCTTGAATGCCCAGGAGCCTTGATTGTAGCCAAAGCAGCCAGCAAAAGTGTGGCATCTGATAAAATTTTTTTTAAGATTTTAAAAATTTATTTATTTGAGAGAGAATGAGAGAGCGAACACAAGTGGGGTGAAGGGCAGAGGGAGAAGCAGAATCCCCGCTGAGCCAGGAGCCCGATGCGGGGCTCGATCCCAGGACCCTGGGATCATGACCTGAGCCGAAGGCAGACGCTTAACCGACTGAGCCACCCAGGAGCCCGATGGGAGCCATTTTTAATTCTATTCCCATTCAAGGTAAGGAAACCTCACTGTTAACCATTCCAAAGTCATGAGCCCTGGCGTCCCAACTGTTGGTATAAATGCTTGCAGTTTTACCCTTGCATGGTTTTACCATACAGGGATGGTTAAAGGCGATCCCGTGGTTATTTCCTCAGTGCCCTGAACTAACAGGGTAGTTGGTGGCAGGAATGGCTGTGAGGCCAGGGGGACTTCCCTGGGCCACAGGATCTGGTTGTTGGCTATATACCCTGTGGGTCGATGATGGCCCCCGTGTTTTTGTGGGTGAGGACTCTTAAGGCATCCCCTCCGCTCTCATTTACACAGAGGAAAAAGGGAAGTTAGCAATTAAGATGTCTGAGGGCAGGGGTCTTATTAGGCTCTTCTTTAAAGTCCCCAAAGTTGTCTCTTCCTGCTCTTTCATTTTTTGATTTTTACTTTTATATTTATAGTAAGCTCTATGCTCAACGTAGGGCTGAACTCATGATCAAGAGCCGCATGTTCTACTGACTCAGCCAGCCAGGAGCCCTTGATCCTTCCTTTTCTTAGTAAAGCATATAGCCATTGACCCACAAGAAAGACCTTTGGAATCCCATTTCCACTGGCCAGCCAATTCAAGAAAGCTTTGTAATTGGCACTTAGTTTTGGGTTTTGGGAAGTTCAGGAACCCTACCTGGGTTGTAACGTAGTTCTTGTTATGAGATCAGGTTTCCTAGTATCAAACCTGTTTTGAGCAAACAGCAATTTTTCTTTGGGGATTTTATGCCCTTTAAGGCCAAAAGTGATAACAGGTGGATGCCATCTTCTTGTGAGGAGGTTTGAGAAGGGCAGTGGAGAAGCAAATCATCTATGTATTATAATAAATAGAGCCTACAGAAAATTTTTATATCATCCAAATTAGCTTTTGAGATTTGTGGAAAGTAAGGACCATCTGTGAAACCCTGGGCCATTACTGTTCAGATGTATTTACGTTCTTCCCAAGTAAAAGCAAAAAGATAATTGGCTCTCCTTATTAACTGGAATACTGAAGATGCACTGCATAGATCAAGTGCAGCAAGAAAACTTGCTTTCTCTGGGAATGGATGTCAGTAATATACAGGGGTTTGGAGCAATAGGGTGCCGAGAGATAACCATGTTGTTTATTGTTCAGCGGTCCTGGACAATCCTACCAGTCCAAAGAGGCGCCCCGTTCAGTTTTGACAGTTTCAGCGCCATGGGTGTCCAGTTTAGCTTTGAGAAAGTAAGTTTGGGGAGATCAAAAGTCCACCATCATGGCCACTGAAGTTCTAAATTGCATTTGGTGAAGTCGGTCCATTTAGTTAGAAGTGTGCATGAGGAGGGACCATGGTTTTTAAACATAAAACCAACTGTGGTCCCACAAGTGGGGGACAGCGCCCCCAGTTTTGATGACTGAGATGCCATTTCTTAGAGGTTTGTCTCTAGAGCAGAAGGAAAAATTCCCACACAACACGCTTTCAATAGGAACAGCCCGGTTCCAAACAGAAGTCAGACCAAAGGGCAAGCGAGTGAGTTCTCACAGAAAGGCCAAAGCCCTAAAACAGATCCTGGATAAAGCCAGGGGAGCTCAATCAAACACAAAGACGATGGAGCTTGAGATGCTCTCACAGTCCAGGGTCAGCAAGAAAGCAGTGAGCCAGTGGGCCTTGGGCATCCGCACCTGTGTGTCCACCAGCCTTGGAGTTGTTGGGGGTCTCCTCTGGATCCCATTTCTGATCGCCAAGTAATGGTAACCTTAAAAATAAAAAAGTCCGTTATTTTACCAGCAAACATGGGTTTATTTGGGAAGAGCAGAGAATTGCTATTTGGGACAAGCGGGCTGTGGCAAAGCCGGGGCAAGCCCAACAAACAGAGGAGAGGAGCCTTACCGCACAGAGAAGGGGAGGAAGCCCTCCCCGGAGAAAAGCCCAGAAGCGAGAGCGCAGGCTGATGACGGCTTCTCATTGGCTGAGGTGCCGGGGGGCGGGTCGCATCCTTGTGGGAGATGCAGTGCGCGTCTTTTTCTGTGGAAGGAAGGCCTCGGCTGATGGTTCTTCCCTGGATGACTCTTCCGTTGGCAACTGTAATTGTCCCGAGTGGCCTCCCCTGCAGCCTCTTGACTCCACTTCATGTGTTTGCCCTTTAGGAAAACTGCTGTCCCACAGGTGGGCTGTGGCCTTGTTGTCCGCAGCCCTCTTTTGCTTTTGCTTGGGAGAGAGCTGAGCTCGATGACTTCAGGCCGAGTCATGAATTCCTTGCATCACTGGGATTTCAGAGAAACACCCTGTGAGACATTCCGGAAGGAGAACTGCCAGTTTGACGTGGATAGACAGAGGAGGGGCATCCCAGGAGGAGGCCATTGGGAAAGGGAGACCTGCAGGGAGGGCTCTGGGGGCGGGGGTCAGGCCTGCTGGGGAGACCGGACTGGAGGCTGCTAATAAGCCTCGTGCTGGCAACGGGGCCAACTTACTGCAAAATGAAGCTGCTTGTCTGTGCTGTCCCCCTCCGGGCGCTTGCCAGGCAGGCAGCCACCTGGAAGCATCTGGGGCCCAGGAGCTCCCAGCGTCCCAGGGAGAGATGCTGGGCTTCCATGAAGGCTGTTGAAACCAGGTCTGATCTGCTGTCTCAACCCTGTGTCACTGGAAGGTAGGATGACAGGGATATTTCTGTGCCCACAGCGATGGCATCTTCCACTCTGGTGTCCAGCGTGTAGGGCAGACTGAGCCTTGGGCTGCATGACTCAGGATTTATTGTTTGTTTGTTATTTTATTTTATTTATTTTTTGACAGAGAGAGAGGAAACTCAAGCAGAGGAAGTGGGGGAGAGAGGGAGAAGCAGGCTTCCCGCGGAGCAAGGAGCCTGATGGGGGGCTCGATCCCGGGACCCTGGGATCATGACCTGAGCCGAAGACAGACGCTTAATGACTGAGCCTCCCAGGCGCCCCAGGATTTATTGTTAATAAATGGAATGCTCGGTGTTCAGTGAACTGCCTGATTGAGCATGCCCACTGTGTGTTCATCTGAAGTGGAGACCTAGCGTGTTTTTTGGCCAGGGACCACTCCGAAGCTTTGTCAGAGGCATGGGCTTTCGGGATTGGCGGGCTCTGGGCAGCGGGGCACCTTTGAGGGCTTGAGGCAGGTGTGGAGATTCAAGTGCTGTGCCTGCTGACAGCTGGGCTGGCCCAGCACTCCCTGGGCACACACTGCCAAGGAGTCTGGGGACATGTGCATTCTGCTGTCCCCTGGGACAGGGGGTCAGGCTGTGATTTTGGACCGGCAGGCTTGTCCAGGGCAGGGGGAGCTGTCCTTGCATGATGGGCTCATGTTTAGCAGTGTAACCTTGTGCTGCTTTCTTTCTTTCTTTAAGATTTTATTTATTTATTCATGAGAGATGAGAGAGAGAGAGAGAGGCAGAGGGGAGAAAAGCAGGCTTCCCAAGGAGCAGGGAGCCGGATGCGAGACTCGATCCCAGGACCGTGGGATCGTGACCTGAGCCAAAGGCAGACGCTTAACCATCTGAGCCACCCAGGCGCCCCTTGTGCTGCTTCCCGTGGCCTTCCTGTATTTATTTCAAACTTGACAGAAACTTTGCTCAGTGGGTGTATTCCACCCCCCTTCTTTGTACCAGCTTTATTGACATAAACCTGTGTTCCATATGACTCATCCACTGAAGTGTACAGTTTCACTAGCAAAATTGGGTTTATTCGGGACTAGCAGAGAATTACAACTGGGGACAAGCAAGCTCCCGTGAAACCACAGCAAGTCTGGAGAACAAAGAGGTTGCTTCTATAGAGGGAAGCGGGGAGAGGGGTGGGCTCTTGTAAAGCGGAAGCCCATTGGAGCGAGCTGGGGGTTGGAAGTGTCGTGGCTTCTCATTGGCTGCGCGGTGTCCGACGGGCCGTGCGGTTGCTGGAGCCGGGGGGGCCCTTCCCCCTCCTGCGGGGGCGGTGTCGGGGGACCTGGGGGCGTCGCTCTTCCTGGTGGGTCTGCAAGCGACCAGTTGTGGGGTGTGAGAGCGTCCCCTGCTGGCCTCCCGACTCCGTTCTAAATGAGGCTTATTTATTTTTCATTTTTCATTTTTCATTAATTTAACACATTTTTATTAACTTATTAACCCCCCAATCTCTGTTCTTTATCGGTTTGTCTCTTCTGGACATTCCAAATAAGTAGACTCATGCAATATGGTGCTTTGTGTCCGGCTTCTCTCACTGAGCATCCTGTTTTCAAGGTGCATCCAAGTAGTAGCAGGTGCCCTGCTTCCTCCAGAACTCACTGTAGGGGTACACACCACATTTTGTGTATCCGTTCATCAGTTGATGGACATTTGCTCTGTTCCCACCTTTTAGCTACTGTGTATAACTTTACTGTGCACGTTCCTGTCCAAGTTTTTGTGTGGGCATATATTTTTATTTCTCGGGTGTATACCTAGTGTGGCTTAATAAATATATATTTGGTCTTTGTCCCTGGGTCCTGGCACAGAGTTCCTAAAACACTTGAAATTTCCTGTGTGATAGTATGTCTTTGGTATGCTAATGAGATGAGTGGTAGCTGGGAGTCCATTAGATAGCTTCAGGGTGGGTGGGGGCTGGTAGCCAGGATGACCCAGGCAGGGCTAGAGGGTTGGAACCCTCAGCCCCACCTCCTACCTGGAGGTGGGGGGAGGGAGGGCTGGAAGTTGAGTTAATCACCAGTGCCTCCATAATGGGACCTCCATAAACATCCCCAGCAGTGGAGTTCAGAGATCTTCTAGGTTGCTGGACACCTGGAGGTGTGGAAAGGGCGGTGTGCCTGATTCCCACCCCATGCCTTGTCCTGTGCGTCTCTTCATTTGGCTGTGCCTGAGCTGTATCCTTTATAACAAACCAGTAAATGTGAATAAAGCGTTTGCCTGAGTCCTGTGAGCTGCTCCAGCAAATTACCCAACTGGAGGAGGTTTTTGTGGGAACCCCAATTTCGAGAGCCAGTTTGTCGGAAGTACAGGTCGCCTGGGGCTTGAGAGTGGCATCGAACTGGGGACAGGCCTGAGCCCTTGACCTGGGGCCTGTGCTGATTCCGGCTGTTAGTGTCAGAACTGCACAGAATTGTAGGACACCCAGACGGAAAAAACCCACCACACACTGGGTGTCAGAGGTGGTGTGAGGAAGACCAGCCCATCTGGGAGTGGAGTGCTGGGTCATAGGGTCACTCTGTGTGGAAGCTTGGAGGAGCCACCACTGTGCTTTCCAGCAGTGTGGGGGGGCAGGGGGTCCCCCATCCTCCTCGGTGCTAGGGAGCTGCCTCTTGGGTTGCAGCCTTCCTGGCCTAGTTGGCTGAAGTGGCATCTCACTGTGGCCTTGATTTGGTTTCTCTGATGACTGATGACGTCGAGTACCCTTTTGTTGCTTACCAGACATGTGTACGTCTTGGTCTATTTAGTTTCTTTACTTGTTTTTCATCTGGCTTCTTTGTCTTTTTATTATCGAGTGGTAAGAGTTCCTTCTGTATTCAAGATACGAGTCCCTCCTCAGATACATGATTTGCAAAGATTCTCTTCCGCTCAGTGGGTTCTCTCGGCACTTTGGACGCTCTGCCTTGATGCACAGAAGTTTTGAATTTTGATGTAATCCAATTTATGTTTTTTATTTTCCGGCTGCTTGTGCTTTTCGTTGTCGGATCTGAGGAACCATCGCCAGATCCAAGGTCATGGAGCTTTACCCGTATGTTCTCTCTCAAGACTTTTGCCGTCTCAGCTCTTGTTGAGGGCTTTACCTGTTTTGTTCTTCCTCACAGATGGTGTGAGGTAAGGGTCCAGCTTTGTTCTTTTGATGTGGACACACTCCTTTCTCCAGACGGGGACGGGCTCTGTGAGTCCGAGGTACTTGTCTGGGTCCCAGGCTGAAGCCACAAACCTGCCCCACACCCCCGTCTCGTGCCTGACCCTGAGGACAGAAGCAGAGGTCCACCAGTGGTAAAAGTCGTGCCCTACAGAACATAGAGTGTTCATCACCCAGGTGGTTTCATTTCCGCAGTGGGCCGGGCCTCCTCTTGGCTGCGTAGGATCTGAGGCTGGGTCTGCATGTTTCCCGCTTCCCTTCCCGGAACACCAACCCGCCCCCTTCTGGCCTTTCTGACCTCCTTACTCCCCCCCCACCCCCGCCCCCCGCCGCAGTGTGCTGTGACCTGCCTGTCCCAGGGCAGGTGGCGGGCTTGCTGTGCAGGCCTCCTGTGGGGCAGGTCCCCACTGGAGACCTTCCACGGCCATGCCGGACCGCCGGAACCCCTTGGTGCCCTGCATGTCCTCCCTGAGGCCCCGTCTTGCTGTAGCCAGATCCAGCAGGCATGACTGGCCATCAAAAGTGTCCTTAAAACCCTGGGAGGAGGGAGGGCGCCTGTAGCAGTGGTGCTCTTGAGTGGGCACCATGGCCCTGCAGGCACGTTTAACTGGGCATCAGGCAAATCAGAATTTTAATCCAAATGGGGGAGGTCACGCTCAGACTGGGAGGTGATGTACAGGGAGAAAGAATTGCTTTTGTAAAACTAGTTTTCCCACCCTCTCGATGTGGAGCAAAGCCTCCTAACGGCTGACAGGGGGGCAGCACCCACATTCTGAGACATTGCCCTGGCTCCCATCTGCACCCTTCACGCTCACTCAGCTCTCAGCTCCGGGGGGCAGAGCCCCCCCCCCCCAGTTTTACAGATAGGGAAACTGAGGGCAGGAGTGACCTGCCCGCGGTCAGCACAGTGGACACTGGGGCCTAGGTCTCTCGACACTGAGTTCTGTGTGTCTCATCGCCTGCTCAAGAGAGGGGCAGGTGATGGCTGCCCCTCCAAGCTCCAGTCCACCAGCCGCCCTGGACATGGCCTGGTGCTGACTTTGGTTTATGAATGGGTAGTATTAACAGTCTAAGACGTGATGTGTCTCCCAAACTCAGCATGAGGCTGAGAACTTCTCTGAGCCTCAAGGAAAGTGCGTGCCCTGATGGCCCGAAGGCCAGGGTGTTGCTCGCCCTGGGTCAGGGCGAAGACCCTGCCTAAAGTACCCGCCCCCAGAAGATTTATCTGGTGGGTCTTCGAAGCTCAGCTGGTATATATGCTTTGCTGTCACTTGGAATGGGGGGGGGGGCGCTGGGGAATGCTTCGGGGGTGTTTTCTGATTCCTCAACTTGTGTCCTGGCCTGCCTTGGCACCCCCCAGCCATCTGTAGGGGACGTGCTGGAGATGGAGGCTGCTCCCTCTCCACCTGTCGAAAGTCCCCAGGCTTCCAATTCCAGTCTCTTCTTGAGCCGGCTAAATATTTCATTACCCTTTGGGCACTTAGCAGGTGGGAACTTTAGCCTTGTAACTGATCAGGGTGAGCAAGGGTGGGTGGCTATCATTTTCAGTAAATGCCACACTTGCTTTGTGTGTTTCTTTGCTGTGCAGGTGCGGTAGTCACTCAGATGTGCCTTGTATTTGGAATCCAGAGCTTTAACGGCTAAAATGCTTTCTGGAGTCCTTCAGTGTCTCAGGGAACCAGATCCTGTTGGACTGATACTCTGCCTCCCTGAATGACAGACTGACACCCCCCCCCCCAGTCCTGCTCATGTCTTGTGCTTATAAACATCAGGCCCTTAGAGGTGGGGACACCCATAAGCCAGCCTGAAGTTGCCTGATTAACCCACGGCATCT